AGGCTGCCTGGCACCAGGCTTTGTTCGATGAATTGTATGTAATGTGAACATACTCATACAGCACACACAAATTCTCCACCCCTCATTCTTGTTTTCATTGGAAGAAGCAGCTACAGCTCCCTGTCCAGTTGAATTTCACCACCCGCGAGCCATGCACGATCCATGCTGTTCCTTCGGTGCTCCTGGAGGAGGGGGATGGGGCCCGCCTCCTCCTCTTTGTACTTCTTTTTTGGGTCCCCCTTATCTTACTCCCCTCACTAACACTTCCATGAGTGGGAGAAGGGATCAACTCAAATTAGTCAACTCGCTTGTTTTTAGCCGCTGCTGTGAACTGGGTAGGAGGGCGAGGAGGTGGCGTCTGCGGGTATTTTAGCAGCAGTGTTGAGGCCCTAGCTGTGCGCCCCTTCCCTTAGGCCACACCAGCCTCACCCTCACTTATACAGTGTCTCTCTCCCTGCTCCTAACTCCTACTCATCCTTCAGTGCCTGACACACAGGGCCCCGGGCAACCTTCCTGGGCTCCGCTTGGTACTCAGGCCACTCTGCACGCCAGATTCGCCCCCCACCCCCGCCCCTCTGACTTTTGGCTCCTCTGCCTCTATCACAAGCTTCGAACGAGGGACGGGCCGCTCAATTCGTCCCCATCCTCCCAAGCCCCACGTAATGTCCGCATGTGCAGGTAGATGGCTTTTACCTGCTTAATAAAAGCAGGCATTTAAGAAAACACTTATTTTCATCTTCGTCAGCAAAAGGTTTGAGAGTCAGCTGTGACCACGTGTCCCAGACCAGAAGACAGCGTCTCAAGGCCTGACTGCGCCCATTTCTCGCAGAGTAGCGAGGGTGTGCTGCCAGCCACGCCCTTCTTTCAGAAACAGAGTTCAAGTTGTAACCATTTCCAGAAACTTGTGTAGTAAGGCTCTACGCATGAAGCACTGTCCACAGCGCTCCACGGGAAGGTGTCTTGGCCTCTCTCTACGACCGGTTCCCGCACCGGGTCTGTGGGGACCCATTTCACAGCCGAGAAGCACTGACGTACAATGTGACAGGGAGGGACACAGAGCAAGCAGCTTAAAGAAGCAGGGCGCAAAGCAAGTCAGACCTTTGTTTCGTAAAACGCGAACCCTCCAGGTCCTCAGTCTTTGCTTAGACACAGCTCCGAGCTCAGGTCCCAGGAACCCTCCGGCCTGCCTCTCTGAGGAGTCTCTTGGTCTCCCCTTCCCTCCCATCTCACCCGCAGCTCGCTGCTCACCTGTCAGACTCCTCGGCTCAGTGAGACCAGGACCCAGGCGCTGCCTTGGCTCTGCCCCTCAGTCTGGAACAGGGACCCCACACCGTCCTTCCCAGGAAAACCATAAACAATCCAGGCTGACCTCCTCCCTCGCCCCCAGGGGCCAGCGCTGGTGTTGACATGTAACTGGCACGGACACGCTTCCTGCGCATCAGTCCTCAGCCAGCAGGCTGGGGGAATGGATTCCGACACAACTGGAGGGGTGACCGGTCCCCGAGGGAGGCTCCGATGGAAAATCCCCAACCTAGCAAATTGGTTCCACCGAAGAAAACTCAGGACAGCTGTTCACTTTGACCTCTTTTCTATGCTGCTTCTCCCGGCTGTCTAGATGGTGCCCAATGTCCTCCTCCAGCCCCAGCACCTGCGCTCAGCACTGGGGTGTGGGTGGGTGGGAGTCGCCACTCTTTGTGGTGAGACGTCGTCTCATTTTCTGCTTAGGGATGCTTCGAGACTAGAGCTTAGAGATGGTCTGGGGAAGGAGGCGGCGGCAGAGGAAGCTCTGCAGAGGCAGCCAGAACACAGAAGCCCAAGTCTTCGCAGTGGCTCAGTGGGACACCCCCCTTCGCCACTCCCCCCCAAACCCAACCTCCACCCTTGCCTCCTCCCACCTTCCTCACTGGGCTCCAACTCTACTGGCCGCTTGCAAGATCCTTTAAGTAGAGCGCATCCCGCCTCTGGGCCTCTGTTCCAGCTGTTGCTTACAACCTCGCTCCCTTCCTCTCTGCTCAGGTGACATCTGACAGGGGCCTCCCTGGTGCCCCGGATCAGAGTCAGGCCTTGGACTGCCCTACATTCCCGCGTGTCTGTCTTGGATTTGCCGCCTTTTTCCCATAACACTTCACGCTGCGTGAAGGAACACATGTCGGGGTGTTTCCTTCATGACAGCCCCTGATCGCACCGTAAACTCTGAGAACAGGGACTCCAGTTTGCTCTGGTCTAACATCAAGCGCAGTCCCTGCCTCGTAGGACAATCTCCGTGAATATTTGTTGATTGAGTGTTTGTTGGGTGAGTGGGTGGCCCGCAGGGCCAAGGACGCGGAAGGAGCAGTGGCTGGGCCCGGGAGGAGCGGGCGCTCGAAGCCTGTCGTACAGGCCAGGGGCCCTCTCCCAGACCAGTCGGTGCCAGTGCCCAGGCCAGTCCTGGGGTTCAGAATACACTAGTCTCAGGTGACATGTAGCTGGCGGGAAAGTTCGTTTTCAGCTATTACTTCTTGGGACAAAGAGGGAGTCAAGGAGCTAGGAGAGCAGTGTGCACGCAGGCTGGATAGAACAGGCCAACCTCCGCAGTGGGGGCTCAGGGGGCCCCTGCAGAGCTAGGTACAGGGCTAGGGGCTGCTGAAGATGAATTCTGAGGTTAAAAGGTTGTGCATAGGGGCCCTCCCTATTGGCACAACGGGTTAGGACAGCACTGCCAGCTGGCCACAGCCTCTTGAGTGTGAATTCCATCCCCACCTGCCCCGTAGGTGACCCACATGGCGTGGCAGACCTCTCCTGATCCACCCGCTGCTCCCCTCAGCAGTGGACTTCGTCCATCTGCCTGTTTTGCTCCCCGCTCTGTCTTTGGTGAAGCCTCTTACCGCCCCTGCACCTCTGGCCTGTACCCCAGCTCTGCATGCATAAATACACAACTCTTAAAAAACAAAACAAAACAAACAAACAAAAAAAACACACAATGGGGAAAATAAGAAAAAAAAAAAAGAAAAGGTTGTGAATGGCTTCTGTCTTTTTTACTGGTTGGGACTTAGGGTCTGTGTGGACAGGTCTGTTGTTGGCTAAACGCCAAGGGCCTCTGGAACCCTGAGGATGATGAGACTTGCATTCGAGTTGCTCTACATAAAGGTGAGCAAGGAGGGGAACTCACATTTTTCAAGTTCTGCTAAGCAAGAAACCACATGCATGCATCCCATCCCTGTGTTTTGCCAACAGCCAACCATCCAGCCACACTGTCCCCCTTTAAGGGACGGGGGCACAGAAGCTCAGAAATTGAAAGTGATTTTCGCGAAGTCATTCAAATAATAAATAGCAGAACTGAGAGTTGAAGCCAGGCCTAATTCCAAAAGCTCTTCTTCCTCTGAATGAGTGCACAGTTCGGCTGCCACTCCAGGGAAGGAACCATCAGAGAAAGAAAGGAGCACAAGAAAAGCCCACCCCAGATAATGAGAATCTGCTGCAAGGGCCAAGCTAAAATGACCTTGGACTTCAGTCACCTCGTCTTGCTTTTTCTACTGTGCTCAACTTCAGAAAAGCTGTTGGTTCGGGGTGTCAAGGAAACTCAAGATATCTGGGTGAAAAAGAAGACAGGAGAAGATCTCAGTCGGTCTCCCAGAGGCTCCGGGCCTCAGAGGAGGGGAGCCCGGGGCAGCCTAAAGGATGTGGGCTCCTATAACGTCTGAGACCAAGGAGCGGAGCCCCCGGCAGGTCTCGGTCGCTGGGACAGATGCCAGCACATGTCAGACTCAGTGCAGAAGTTCAAGTGGGTGCGGTTCTTCCCTTTCCCATGAGACCAGCGCCGGTAAGTGACTGGGAGATGGTGAGGGAGGAAGGAGAAACAAGAACCCCCGTGTGGCAGCCAGGGGAGAAGACCAGGGTTGGGGGGTTGCTGCATGACCACCTCGACTGCTTGAGATGCGAACCTCACGAACCGTGAGAGCCAGGGCGACGCCGGCCAAACCCTGGCAGGGGAACCCCACGCCACCCCACAGTGGCTGCGTAGGGGCTCCCCCCCCCCATGTTTAAATCCTCAGGAAGGAGATGCACAGAAAGACTGATTGTGTTCAATCTCAAACGAATTCTGTAAAAAATGAGCCACTGAAATACAGGTCCTCGCCTGCTCCCCACTGCCCGTCGTTTAAGCTACTGCTTCCTGCCAAGGAAGGACTCAAGACAGCACCCCACCCCACCCCACCCAAGCACCTTTAGCACGTCATGACCACAGCTACCTTGAAACACACACTGTGGAATGAAGCCGCCCCCCCCCCCACTTTTTACATGCAGGCTCATCAGGAGACGGGCTTCTGGCCACCCAGGACACGCTGGGCGAGACGGTACCCTCGGCCCTCCCAGTGTCCCGGGGGCCTTGCACACCCGAGCAGCGAGCAGGGCAGTGCCCACTGCGCTCTCCTGCCAGGACCGAAGCCCGTTGCTTCTCACCTGAGCGCGCTCTTGGGATTCAGGGTCACCAGTCCAGGCTGACGGGAGGAACCCCGCTGAGCAGCTGTGGTCAAGGCAGTGGGTCCTCAGGTCAAGACGGGGCCTTCGATTCCCGCGGTTCCTCTGTCCGCAAGTGAGTGAGGATCAGCTAGAAGGGAAGGCAGGTCATGTCACGAGGAGAGGCCATTTCCTGTCCGAACAGCAAGACGGCCCTAAGGAGCGCAGAGAAAGCCCCAGAATCCAAGGCTGTCAGGGCTGGATGAAACCCACGGGGCCTTTGTTTCCTGCCTGGGAAAACTGAGGCTCCGAGAAACAAACAAACAGCCTCAGCCCAGGACGCAGCAACGTGGGAGGACAGTCCAGACCAGAGCGTGTCTCTGCTCGCTGGCCTTCTGGAATGTTTGAAAAAGCAGCCCCAGGCTCAGGCGAGCTGCTCAAACAAGTGGTCACTGACCCCGAGTGGGAAGTCCTTTCCTTTTCTTTTTAACAGATTTGCAAAAGGGGGTGGCACTTTTTCCAGATTGCTGTTTGGTAGCTTTACCCTTGGGCTAGATGGGTGCAAAAGCCCACCTCTGTGTCTGCTGGGAGGGCCCCCTGCCCCACGGACGGTACCCCGTGAGCACTGTGGGGTGGGGCATGCTTTTCAGTACCGGGAGCTTTGCACCCTCAGGAGGTCGCTGGCGTGTCTTTGTCCATCTCTCTGCCTCCACGTTTCAGGCAAACACAGTAACAGACCCAGACTTTCCCAGAGGTGTCATTTGTTATGTGATTTCCTGGCTACTGTTCATGAGAACAGTTGTTCTATGTAGAAAACCAAAGGATTTTGCATTTGTCAAGCAGATAATATCTGCCAGGCAGACAGAGAAGATGCGACTCTATAGATAGACAGAATCAAATATTTCCTAGTTGGTCCTCAAAAATTTACCAAGATACACCATTAACTCCGTTTTTCCAAGGGGTTAGAGAATAAGCTTCAGAAAGCTAGAAAAATCGGCAGAATCCTGAAGAGAATAGAGGGCAGAACCAGAAATGAGCTCAGACCCCACTCCCAAATCTATTTTTTGTCCATCTAAAACGGATTCTAGTTACTAGATCCAGTACTGCGTGTTGTCTTATTTTTCCCAGGGTTTTGAATTCAGGTCAGGAGAAGGTTCTTTGGAAGCTGTGCACTGTGTAAGTCATGAAGGATGATCCTCGTTAGATGCTCTTCCAGGCAGAGGGCCTGTGGGCCAGTTTCCTGCCTGCTCCGGGCACACTCACGTGCCCACAGCGGGCTGGGCGGCCCAGCCAGCACCGTCAGGAAATCACGATTATCAATGCTGGGGGCTTTGTTCCTGTTCTCAGACAACCAGGGACAGGGCTGGAGAGATGGGGTGGGGTGGAGAAAGAGGAAGAAAAAACAGGAAGTGTGTGTGTGGGGGGGGAGGAAATGATAGAGAAAACGCAGCAACTTTAAAAAGTCCTTGGCCTGACGAGAAAGTGATTTCGGACATGCATGTGGCTGGCCTGGCATTTGCGAAACCAGGTCAGGGTGGGGGCTGGGAGACGAGGTTCTTCTTCAGAACTTGGGGTCAGAAGCCCAGGATTCCCACCACAGAGCACAGTCGGAGGGAGACACTCAGAGTGCACCCCGGAGGTGACTCTCCAAGGCAGTGGGGTAAGCCGAGGCCTCGCCTCTGGGCTGCGGAGGAGGCAGGTGTGCCAGGGAACCAGATAAGCTGCTCAGGTGACGAGCTGCGGGCAGGTGTGGCCCACCCCACCGCTTCCTTGCTCGGCTGTGCTCCTAACGATGCAGCTGGGCCCACCCAGTGGGTGCAGAAGAACCCCCCCACCACAAAATCCAGAGGCTCAGGCCAGCAGGGGGCTGAGTGTCCTCCAGACCCGGCCTGACTCTCAGGCAATTTCAGAGGCTTCTCAGGGCATCTGTCCACTCCACTACTGACAGGTGCTGCCAAAGTTCCCAAGCTCCAGAGTATCACAAAGGGCGACCTGTGAGACACGTTAGCACAACACTAACCCTACGTCAAGGCCCCCCAGCACCCAGGGCAAGGGGATGCACAGCCGCTCTCCCCTCCAAACTGGCAGTGCAACTGGGGAAACAAGCAAAACAGCCCAGCCTCCAGCCTGGGGCCGAGGCCCAAGAGCTCCGAGTCCCCAGCCTGGCCCTGGCCCAGCACCGGCATGTGGACAAACTGCGTCTGTATCCCGCCTCCCAGGCCCCTTCCTCCAAGCTCCCAGATAAGATCACAGCGGTCCTGCCAGGGCCGGGCAGACTCAAGGACCTGCCCTCAGTTTTGTAAATTACCCCTCCACCATCCAAACAAACCCAGGACAACAGAAAGCAAGCCTGTCTTTGAGAGGACGCCAACTTTTGGAAGTGATGGCTGGTGGCTTCCTGTTTGAGTCACCCAGGGGCCAGATGTCCATGAGGGAGGACAGTGATCAAACGGAGGAGACACAACATGCTTCGGTCCCTACAAGAAGCACAGACTCAGCCAACTCCACACTCATTTGCTCCGACTGGGGATGGCGGCCACTGCCCTGTCCCCCGTCCAGGCCGAGGGGTGGGGGTGGTGCCCGCGGTGCCCGGGACCAGAGTCTGGGCTTCTGGAGCACCCCGCTGCCAGCAAATGCTGTTCCCTATTTTGTTTCCTTTGGTTGTTTTAAGAGGGAGACAAAACAGAGGGTAACTGCTCCATTTTAAAAACGGGATGCTGTGCTCCAGAGGTATGACGTGACTTGTCCAGAGTCACACAACAGAGCTGGGACTAGTCCTCCTGACCTCCGACCCAGGATCTATGACCTTTCACAATGCATGCTCCCTCCCCCCACTTGCAGGGTAGGGGAATAGCTCAGAAAAGATGGGTATTTCTGTTTCCCCAGCACTGGCAACACTGAAGGAGGCCGCCCAGGCGGAGAAAGCACTGAGGCCGAAGGACAGACTCCCGGCCCCAGGCTGAGCGTCTAAGGAGCTGGCGCTCATTCCAGGTTCCAGGGGACTAAGCCCAGCAAAGGCAGTGCACCTCGGCGGACCACTGTTCCAGAACCCCCAGTGCTGGTCAGCAGGGAGACCAAGATCAGCTCTCTAGTACCAAAATAGGCCTCCAGTTAGCACAGACAGCTGGTCAACCCCAAGACTTCACAGAGCCCACACCAGCTCATTCCTCCTGCCCCCTTTTACACATGAGGAAACTAAGGCCTCTACCCAGGGCTGGGAGCTTGAGTGGCAGAGCCCGGGGTGGAAAGTAGGCAGTCTGGCTCAAATTCCTGTTCTTCACTATTAGGTAATACTCCTCTCGAAGCAGTAAAAGAAAAAAAACACAGAGTAGGCATGCAGGGAGACTGATTCATAGAAACGAACAGAAAATACTAGAGACCAGCAGGCAATGACACCTCCATCCAGAAGGCGGGGGTGGGGGGCCCTTTCCTGGTGGGAATCCTGAGAGCAGCTACTCAGACAGGCCCGGGAATTTGTCCCAGCACCTTTGGGGCTTTGGGGGTGTGTGGGGAGTTCCCAGTGCCACCAGCACCAGTAAATGACACTGACATTGGCCCTGGTGTTTACATGGCTTTGGGGCAAGTAAGTAGGCAGGGCTGGGAGGGGCAGCCCTGCTCTCAGGATTCCCACCAGGAAAGGGCCCCCCGCCCCCGCCTTCTGGATGGAGGTGTCATTGCCTGCTGGTCTCTAGTATTTTCTGTTCGTTTCTATGAATCAGTCTCCCTGCATGCCTACTCTGTGTTTTTTTTCTTTTACTGCTTCGAGAGGAGTATTACCTAATAGTGAAGAGCAGAGGCCTGGACAGGAGCATATCTGGGAGGGGACAGAGGCTTGGACAGGAGCGTACCGGGCAGGTGGAGGGACGAGAGGAGCCCAGTGTCCCTGTCACCGGCGGGAAGGCAGGACTCTGACAGACACCCACAGCTACAGTAAGTTCTGGGGATGCTCCTGACTTGAGGCTCATGAAGACTTGGGGCGCAGGGCAGGACGGGACCCCCTTTGCCATTTCACAGATGGAAAGACTAAAGTCAAAATAATAACAGGTCCGGGGAGAGTGATCGCCATGATGGCAACTGCCATTTGTTGGCAATCCAGTCTGTACCCCTGAGGAAGCTGGCTGCTTCTCCTAGGTGCTGGAGTGATCACGTGAACTTGATGAAGTCCCTAAAGTCCGTGTGATTTTCCTAATGTAGCTGAAATAAGCCAGCAATTTCCTTAAGGTCAAAACACCAGTAGGCAAGGAGGAGAGGCCCCGACTCTCATCAACTCGCCACTTTGCCTTGATGTCACCTGCAAACTGTGAGCTGTTAAAGGATGATAGCCCTGCACCACAGCCAGGTGCTCACCCGGCCCACGATGGCCCAAGTGCACAGCTGAGGTTTCGCTTGAATGCGTCACCCTCACTTCCCCTACCCTAAGCGCGTGTGCATGGCCCCACACGAATGGGGTGGCCACGATGAGCACCCAACCTGGGTCCTTGAAGCGCGAAAGGGGCAGCAGACAACCCCGGGGACCTTCCCCGGCACCCAGGGGTACACGGCCACCCTGACATCATCCATGCCTCGTGAGGCTGGTTACTGTCACACCAAGTTGTGCTGCTCAAGACTCCCCTGGACACCCCTGGTTGTCCAGTCCACACATCTGCTTGGCAGCCAGATGGCTCCTTTCTTCCCAGAATATCTTCGACATCCCTTGGACGTACTGGTGCTGCATACTAGGCTGATGCCACTTGATTGTGAAGCAGCAAACTATGGTTGGAGCACAGGGTGGACAAGCCTTGGGCAGCTACTTTGAAAGGACAGCTGGCCGCCGAGAACCTGGACAGGCAGCTGTTTGACGACCAGACGTGAGGGTTCTGCGGCTTTGCCGTCACCGCTCCTGCTGCCCCGGGGGCTGGCCAGCTTGCTCAGGGACAATGTGCTGCTGGTCCAGGCTGGCCCTTGTCACCTGCCCTCAGCCCATACCTTGCCCAGAGGGTGCCCAGCTACAGCCCTTTGAGGAGGGGACTCCCTGGCTCCCCTCAACCTGAGGCAGAAGGAGGCATGTCTTACTCTAGTGCCTACTTACGTTAACCTCCTACGAACCTGCCTTTTAAGAATCTGTGGCCAAGAGGAAAACAAATCTAAAGCAGAAAATCAGTCTGAC